TTTTTTTTTTTTTTTTTCAAACTCAATGTTTTAATTATATTTTTCTTATTTTAAAGACAAATAAATATTTGTAGGCTAATTACTTGACGTTATATCTTATGTTAGGCTAGCTTACCCGTTAGGTCGACATACTCTTTTCACAAAAATATATAGGCCCCGTTTGGAAGATAGCGGATTGAGAATAAATTAGCGGATTGAACTTAATTGAGAAGTTTGACCCGTCAAATCCGCTATTGAGCTTGTTTGGTAAATAACTTATTCGATAAGTTTTTTAGGCCCAAAACTCTAGTTTAGAAAAAGCTCATTAGAGGAGCTTTTTGGGGATAGATGATTCACAATCTACAATTTTAATTTAAAACTTTTTAATTTGTATTATTTATTTTACAATCTACATTGGTTTATGATGCTAACAAATAATAATATGTCATCCATATGATTAATTTATCTAGAAAAATGTAAAATTATAACTTTTTAATCAAGTGTTAGTAAATTTTTTTAAAAAAATATATTTATAAATTACCAACTAAAAAATAATAAATGTTTTAATATATTATTATTAAAAAAAAGAATAATAAAATGTCCTTATTGGTAATTTGCAATGTCAAACAACTATAAGCTTTCAGCTATTTACCAAACACTTATTTAAAAACTGCTAATGTAATCCGCTAGTCAAATCAACTAATATAATCCGCTATCCGCTATCCGCTAATACAATCCGCTATCCGCTATCCGCTGATCGCCAAACAAGGCCATATTCATTATAAAATGTCATACATTAAAAGTACCACAAATAAAAGTATAACAAAATATAACATTTGATAGACTAAGTATGGTTTTGCTATGAAGCCAACAGTTGGCTCCGTAGTGGAGCCAACCTTCTATATACAACAAGTAAACCTACCATATTCTCTGATTACTTAAATAACACTAATATAATTTTATTAATATGGTAGATTTATTTGTTATATATAGAAGGTTGGCTCCACTATGGAGCCAACTGTTGGCTTCATAACAAAACCGAGACTAAGTACGCATTTTTACTCATAAAATATGACAAATTGACTCGCTTAACTGTTAGGTCATTTCACACAAAAAATTGTTACTCTGAGAATCCAGGATGTGTTAGTATTAGTAATTTTGTGATATATTTCCATTTAATCATTCCAGTTTATCTTTAGCTTATAAACTTCTTGTACTTATTTTTATTGTATGAGCTATATGGACACCATAGGCAAACTTGTGATTGATTTGAGACCGAGAGAAAAATAGTCGATTGATAGAACTGAAAAAATTGTAACGTAGGAGAATAGGGCAGACCGCGAGATGGTAATATGATCTTGTAATATAACTTATCAAAAAGAGTTAGTCGTTTATCTTCAGACTGAGAGAAGTTTAATAACAATTAATCTATGATTTAACTAGAAAGAGAGAGAGAGAGAGAGAGAGAGAGAAATTATCTCTACAATTGGTAAAATTACATAATCTTTGAAGGACTATAAACTTTTAATGAATTGGAATTTCGAGGAAAACATTCTCAGAAAATATTATTCTTCAAATCTTGTTTTATTCGTAATTTTGAAAGCTCTTCGACTCATTAGTAAAATTAATCTTTAGTTTATTTTGATTAGTTCATTTAAACCACTCTTGGAATTAGCAGCAGTCTAGATAATATTTAGTCATGTTTTATTTTTAAAATTTAATTTTATGCTAATTCTTAGATCAGTTGTTAATAATTTTAAGAAAATGAAATGTAAAATAAATTTATGCTAATTCTTAGATCAAGTTGTTAATACGAAGCATAAATTAATGTCAAATAAGTTTCTGAAACATGCAAATCTGTCATTTAAGCCCAACACAGTGCGGAATTATAGATTAGTGAGATTAATTAAATTCTCGTTGCTTGGTTAATGAACAAATTACTAATAACTTCAAAAATTAGAACAATGTAGAATATCATCAATATTTTTTATTTCCAAATTTCCATTAATTTTCTGAGAAGCTAAATATTTTTCTGCTCAGTCATACTTAAAAGCAATTGGGGAAATAATATTCTTTTAGGGATTATAAACTCTTTTATTACTTATTTACTGTTGAAATTTGTTTGCTAAATGTTTTCATGATATTATTCTATTCGCCTGATATATATTAAAGCATAAATAATTTCTTGGGGATGTAAAGCACTTCAATAAACACTGAAAGATATTTGATGTGGTCGTTAGTAGCGGCTCATGAAGGATCGGTTGTGATCCGGGTTCTAGTCGCAATCAGCTGGGTGGTTCAATTTGGTAGGCGAGTGCTTTGGTAGGCGAATGCTTTGGTAGGCGGAGGCTCTGGTAGGCGTAGCCCATGATACCTTTGGAGTACATGGGTGGTAGGCGGAGGCTAGCTCAACGTGAGCTAGGCAGGGCACCTTGGCACCTAGGTGGCTGGACTTCTGCTGGGGAGACCGACCCCATAGATGGTATCGTGCTCAAGTCATGAAGAGGTTCACAACCTCAAGGATTCTTAAGATTTTGACTTAATCTGATGGGAAGACTCCTAGTATGATAAGAACTCTTCAATCTTCAGATGACTTCGTCTATAAAAGGGGCGCAAGTTATTTCATTTACACAACACACACAAAAAAATTCTCTCGTTATTCTGCCGTTTTTCCTTCAGACCACCACTGACTTGAGCGTCGGAGTATTCGCGTCGGGACCACCCCCGACGTGTTTTGCAGGTACCGACGATCAAGGAGACGTAACCCAGTTCGAAGATGATCGGTCCAGCGGTTCAAGTGTTTGTGGCATAACAATACTAATTACGTTTTTTTTTTTAGGTTGGGAGTGTTTCCGTAATTGTTTTATTATATTCCTATAATGGACATTTAAAAGTTTTATTTATTATATTATATATATAATATTGTCTCCTATTTCAATAATTAACTAAATAAATAACATTTTGAATCTTTTGTACATATTTTTTCATTATTACTTTCATCCAGCTAATAAATACATTACGTCTTTTCATATTCATTATTTATTTATTTTTTTCAAAACATCCATCTCTAGCATCATTAATGAGGGTTATTATTGACGAAAAAATTCTTAATTATTGTGTAACTTATCAAAACGACATTCATTAAAAATATGAAGGAGTAATAGTTTATGTTTATTTTATGTTTTTTTTTCTTCTCTCTCTTTTCTATTCTTCTACACATTTCTTCTTTCTTTATTCTTCCTCTTTTCTTCTCTTCTCCTCCCTCTTATCTCTTTTTATTATGTTTTCTCTTTCTTGGCCAATTTTTTCTCCATTCTTCTCTCCTTTTCTTTCTTCTTCTTC